ATGTGGCCCAGTTATGCCCCTCGACTAAGCCGTGGTTTGTTCTCTGCTCAAGACAACATGCAACACAGGCTTGCAGAGATACAGTTGCTCAGGGGGGTGTCATCCAACAGAAGTGTATTAACTGCAAAACAGTTGGAGTTCCTGTATGGCACCCTGACTGTCCTAGAGCTCCTACACCCTTTCAGCGCCCAGACCCGCCACCCAGGCAGGTCTCAAGAAACACTACTGCTGCTAGGGTACTCCCTACGGCCAACCCCTGGCCCGCCCACCCACACCAAAGCTCCAGGATCATCACCAGCAGTCATCGAAAGATCAGCATGGGGCAACACAGACGTACCGACACAACAGGTAGCTGCCAACACACCCCATGAACACGCACAACGTGAAGAGATCAATGATTTGAAAAATGAAATTTAAGAACTCAAAGCTCAATTTACAGCTCAAACTGATATGTTAAGGAGCCTCTGTGATACACTACAGAAAAGGAACACCACCAACACAATGCAGCAGCTATGGAAAGATTACAGTCAAACTGAAGATATTCAGATGTCAGTACCAGATGTGGAAACTCAAGACCCACCAGGAACTAGTGTCCACGCAGATGAAAATAGTGATACTGGTAACAGTTCTACTGATGCCTCTGTGGACATGGTCAGTGAAGATGAACAAACACAAACAGAAAATGGTGGTGATGTCGAGTGTAACCAAAGTGTGTTGTTGTCTGCCACTGACATACAACAATTATTGAGCAGTACATGCTCTAGAAATGTTTCAAAAACGTTATGTGGCCTACTACCTGCCGAAGGGACAAGCAGCGCAGAAAAGAACAGTATCATACAGTGCCTTTTGCTTCTTTCTAAATACAGTTCATAATGGCCAGTATTAATACCAGACAAAGATACAGAGCTGTGAAGGTGATGAGTTGGAACATCTCATCCCTTAGAAAACGATACCCTGACCTACACCACAAAGTTGTGACTGAGGACATCGATATTGTGTGTCTGCAGGAGTGTCTCACACCTAATGGTAAGCCCCCACCCAGTCTGCCCAATTATGTGTACTGTATTATGATCCTAGTTCTACTCACACATGTTTGATGTATGTTAAGAAGTCACTCCCGCATGTACCTCTTGTATTCAAAAAGACTACCAACCTTCAGTACCATGGGATCACTCCTGGGCAACTCCACACTCAATGTGCTAAACGCCTATGCTCCCTCAGATCAGCTTCAGTACACAGATCTCCCAGACTTTTTACACACTGAGCCCACTGTCCTGATGGGTGACCTGAATACTAGACACAAGAAATTAGGTGACTCAACTTCTAACACCAATGGTAGGAGACTTATCTCACTTCTCAGCGCATATGAAGATGTTCAAATTATAGGAAATAATGAACCAACACACATCTATGGCGGGGGTCTACACAAGTGTGTTGGTTTTAATCTTTCATACACAACTCATAGCTCTGATGTTGTCACTGATCTTATGTCTGACCACAGCCCAATCCAAGCTAGTATACATGTTGCCAATGACACCCCCACTGGTGGTAAGCTCAACAGACGTAGAATCACAGTCAAGCAAGAACATGAAAGCCAGTTCATAGATTTCATCCATGACTGGTACAAGGACCACAAGCCTGACAACTACCAAAGTTTCCATGACGATCTGATAGATAGGACTTATGCATACTTCACCAACAATGATTCCATCAAAAAAAGGAGAAAACGTGGTCAGCATAATGGGAACAGGCAACAGCAGTGCTATAATGACCCTCAGCTGAAAAAACTTAGGGCTAGAGTCAGGAGGGTGGGTAAGGGTTACAAACAAATTAGAACACCTCAAATGTTGCACTTGTATCAAGCTTCCCTTGCTGCTGTCAGGGAACGTGTAAACCAGGGGTGGGCAAGATACGGCCCGCTGGCCAAATGTGGCCCGCCAGTTTATTTCGGTGGCCCTCCACTGCATGTGGATAAAGATATATATATATATATATATATATATATATATATATATAAATCACTGTAGAGTGCGCGTGACCATTGTGGACCTGGTCTCACCCTCCTCTGTATATATACACCTTGATTTGTATTACTCTCTCTAGTCTGTACTCACCCCTGAAGATGTGAATTACACGAAAGCGCTTGGGAACTTCATGTTTTCTTCTTTCTATGTGGTTATCAGCATATACCTAGATCACGCGCACCTACAGTGATTTACTTGCATATATATATATATATATATATATATATATATATATATATATATATATATATATATATATATATATATTGTTACGAGTTGGGGATTTAGAATATAGTTATACGTCTACCCAGATCCCAACAGGTAACAAAAAAACAAAGACAATCGGACTATAAAAGGGTAGACAAAGGATGCGAGTTTTCGTTGTGTATAATAAAGTACCATAAATCCCTAAACAAAATATTCAGTTTATAAATTACCCTTAACCAAACTTAACCTAAACATTAACAGTATATACATATTAATAAACATAAAACAATCTTGAAGCAAGTGGACGTGGGGGAGTTAATACAAAATATAAGTACTTAAGTGAGGAGCTGAGATGGCTGACGAGTAAGGCTGAGTATTGTAGAAGACGGTAGGTAGTCACTGCACGTAGGTTTAGAGGATAGATGATCCTGTGGTCACTTCCCAGAGCCAAGTGCTCTCTCCTCGAATTGGAGCTCACAAAGAAGACCTGGAGGAAGTGACGCAACAACCAGGATATGGAGAAGGGAAACCCCGGAGTGTTAACTAAGACGAGTCATACTCGTGTCTCGTCCCTAGTTGGCGATGCTCGTGGTGCTGGGTAGGTAGATCAGGACAATAGATGGCGTGGTTCGTAGTGCTGGGTGGAGGGGTTCGTAACAATATATATATATATATATATATATATATATATATATATATATATATATATATATATATATATATATATATATATATATATATATATATATATATATAATTTAAAATCTTAGAAAGGATCATTATTATGTGAGAGTTGGCCACCCTGTTGTGAATACTTCAAATATGGTTATCTATAAGGATTAGGATTTGGGATTAGGCAAATGGAGGTCAGTGAACCCTTACCCGAGAGACCCATAATTCTTGACCATTTGACCAGGACGGCCACGCCCACGCCTCAATATTGTTTCCCACGCTGACCTCACCGTCCAGCACCAATACTAGAAAAGCTCAGTCTCCTCTCTGCTTCTCACTTAAGAGGACATAAGTGTGGTTTTGCTGAATTTGTACTTATGTGTTGTTGCCCCAACCCATAATTTTAAAGTGGAAATGAGTGACTCTAAGAAGAGGAAAGTTGAAGCAGAGTATCGAACATTCAACAAGGAATGGACTTCTAAATATTTTTTTACCAACGTGGATGAAAAAGCAGTGTGTTTAATTTGCAGAGAAAGTGTGGCAATGCTAAAGAATTACAACTTAAAGCGCCACTTTGAGACCAAGCACTCCAGTAAATATGAAAAATTTTCTGATGAACAAAAGAGGAAGAAAGCTAACGAGATGGTTGTTCAATTACAACAACAGAAAAATATTTTCAGAAAACAATTTGCATCCAAGGATGATAACCCAAAAGTGAGTTATGTGATTGCTCACAAGATTGCCAAAAACAGCAAGCCATTCTCTGAAGGAGAATTTATAAAGGAATGTATGATTGATTCTGCCTCTATTTTATGTCCAGACAAGAAAAACCAGTTTGAGAATGTATGTTTGTCAAGGCGAACAATTGTAAGACGTGTTGAGAACATTGCTTAGAACATGTATCTGCAATTTAAGGAGAAAGTAAGGACTTTTGAATACTATTCACTGGCACTTGATGAAAGTTGTGATGTCAGAGACACAGCACAGTTGTTAATTTTCATTCGAGGCATCACCAAATATTTTGAGGTCACAGAAGAAATGGTATCAATGCAGTCACTGAAAGGAACAACAACTGGAGAAGATTTATTGGAGGCAGTAAATAATTGTCTTTTGAAATTAGTAGTAGAATGGAACAAACTGGTAAATGTGACCACCGATGGAGGGCCAAATATGACAGGTAAAAATGTTGGATTGCTAAAAAGAATTCAAGATCAAGTCAGAGAAACAAATGCAGAACAAAATATTGTCTTTTCGCACTGCATTATTCATCAAGAAGTCCTTTGTAAGAGTGTTTTAAATTTAAGCCATGTCGTTGACACAGTTGTGAAAGTGGTTAATTACATTCGAGCAAGAGGATTAAATCACAGGCAGTTTATAACCCTGCTTGAAGACTTGGAATCTGATCATACGGATGTTCTGTATCACACAAATGTGAGGTGGCTTAGTTTGGGAAAAATCCTGAAAAGAGTTTGGGAATTGAAAGAAGAGATTGGCTTATTTTTGGACATGAAACAGAATGCTATAGATTTCCCACAGTTGAATGATGAGAAATGGCTCTCTGATTTTGCATTTGCTGTTGATATCATGGGTCATATGAATGACCTGAATTCAAAGCTACAAGGGAAGGGGGCTTTTGCACATGATTTGTACAGCAGTGTCAAAGCTTTCATGAAGAAATTACTTCTTTTGTCTCGTCAGATTACGAACAAACAATTTGCTCACTTTGCAACCTTACAACAGATTGAAGTTTGTGATCAAAATGTACAGAAGTACTCATTGCAGCTACTTGACTTGCATGCCGAATTTTCACGCAGATTCCATGATTTCAAATTAATTGAAAATGACCTACAACTCGAGCTTATTGACATGCAATGTGATCCTTTGCTTTCTGAGCAGATGAAAACAGTGACTCTTCCCAAATTCTATGCCTCTCTTAATGACTGTGCATTTCCGAAACTAAAGGCTCATGCTCAAAGAATGCTTGTGCTGTTTGGATCTACATACATATGTGAGCAGACATTTTCGATAATGAAGCTGAATAAATCAAAACTTAGATCTGCAATGACTGATGATCACCTTGAACAAGTACTTTTCATTGCAACAACGGAGGCAACACCTGACTTCAATGGTCTGGTCAGCAATCATCAGCGCTGTCATTCGTCCCACTGAGTAAGTTAAATATTCTTATCAAGATATTAAACAATTTCAGAATATAATATGACATATGAACATACTTTAAAATATTTTAATAAATTACATATTGGTGCTTTGACTTGCTTTTTCCTTATTTTCAACCATTAAAACTTAATTATATTATCCTTAATTTATGAAGAAGCAACAATAAATATTAAACTGTATTAAATACATTTTTCAAGCAGTCTGCAGCAGTGACATCATAGATCAGCCGATCAGGAGCAGCTACAATTTGACATGACTCCACCCAACCACCACCTCCCTAGGGAAGCCAGACGAAACAGGATAGCTGTGATCAGACCTGACCAACTCAACCCTACCACCACCTCCCTAGGGAAGAGTAAAGACAACGTCTCAAGAGACTAATTATTTCAACTTATAATATCGATTCTCTTCTGTTACGACAGTTACGTTAATGCACTTAAAATACCAAATTTACTGCACCATAACTCTATATTATTATTAGTAGTATTAATATTGGTATTTGTATTAGCATTATTATCAATAATAAAAGATACAAGCTAAGAAGTGACGTATTTATTTCCCCAAAATATCTATGTATGCTACTTAATATTTTACTTACATCCTATATATATAAATACAGGGCTTTATTTTGTGTAAATACAATGCATTTGCATCTATATTAAGTCTCTGGCCCGCGGCGTGTACCAAAATTCATGAAGTGGCCCGCCAGTCAAAATAATTGCCCACCCCTGGTGTAAACGAACTCAGACAAAATGCATGGGAGACATATGTCAACAGCCTGAACCAACGCACATCCCTCAGCAAAGCCTGGAAAGACATAAACACAATCAGAGGTAAAAACAGTAGACACGTCTCCCATCCAAACCCTCTGCAAAAGTCGAATGAGCTAATAGCAAAATGGGCTCATGTGTCGAACTGTGACATGTTACCAGCTACGACTCGGGGACTCCTTGATGCGAAGTCTGTAGAGAGAAGTAATCTTATTAACTTTATGCTGGGCAAACAGCACGATGAGTGTGATGTTCCATATACTGAGTGGGAGCTTGACGCCGCCCTCGCCAGGGGTAGGTCTACTTCCCCTGGAGAGGACTGAGTCACCTACAACATCATTAGACTACTAAGGCGTGTGCCGGGCAATCCATTATTGGTATTGTACAATATGAGTCATGCCGAGGGCCAACTACCCACATCATGGACCAGCAGTATTGTTGTACCAATACCGAAACCAGGACAACCTGATGCCTTTCGTCCCATATCACTAACCAGCTGCCTGTGTAAAACCTTTGAGAGGATGGTTCTTGGCAGACTCTTATATAGAATCAGAGAACACTTGTCTCCTAACATAAATGGCTTCACCCATGGTAAAAGTGTCCATAATTGCATCACCACATTCCTAACTGTGCATGGTGATGAAAGGCACAAATACACCACATTTCTTAACCTAAAAGCTGAATATGATATTGCCAATAGGCAACTGATATTGTACGAACTAGCCAAAATGGATATAGGAGTTAGGCTGTTACACTGTATAAGTGGTTACCTAACCAACAGAAGGGCTGCTGCACTGTTTCAGGGTTACAAAAGTGAAGTTAAAGATATGCAACTTGGTACCCCTCAAGGTGGAGTGCTTAGCCCCACTTTGTTCAATGTTCTTATGAATGCATTATTAAATTTAATACCAGACAACCCCAGCAATATCTCAATCAGCTATGCTGATGATATTCTTATACATACTAAAACTCATCGTGAAATGCAAACCACCCTGAACCATGTATACGCAGCCTGTGAGAACCTCGGTCTTATTATCTCCACTGAGAAAACTAAGGTGTTCAACAAACAAGCTGGTAACCGCAAACGCGGCCCCGCCAAGTTCAAGATAGGTAACTACACTATCGACTATGTTTCTTCTTTTAAATATCTTGGTGTCTCCGTCCCTTGTACCCTACCTGCCATACAACAGCTAACCCGCCAATGTACTGACAGACTGAGACCTCTTAGAAGTGTAGCGGGGTGCAGCCCGCACTATGGTGCTAATATTAGAATTGTTAAAACAATGTACCTAGGCTATATAAGATCTCTGCTAGATTACCACTCACCAGCCCTGGTCCTTCGTGACGGGAAAGGCGTTGACAAGCTCGATAAAATGCTAAATAAAGCCCTCAGAATTATCCTAGGATGTCCCATGAGCACTAAAGTACTTAATATGAGGAAAGAACTACTGTAGGTATACCCAGTGTTAAAGCTAGAATAATTGAAGTCAACCTCATGATAGCCCTGAGGCTTCTGCGTGGTGATCCTGATAACATTGTTTCCTTAAAATTGATAGAATGTATGAACCATGGGATTGGTGAGTCTAAATGGATCCAAACTACAGCTACACATATGAAGATGTTTGGACGTGACCACCTGTACAAAGTTGAGACACAACAGCACTTCCTGCCACCTTGGCGGACAGTTCCCTTCGATATCACAATACCGACGTATCCGCCTAAAAAATTAATTACACAAAGCATTTATCTCCAACACACTGCCAAAGTGAGAGCTCTTGAACACATACACACACTACAGACTGATGATAACATCACACAGACCATCTATACTGATGGATCTCTTAACACCGCCTGTGGGAGGGCTGGAAGCGCTATTGTTGTGACTCAACCTGACGGTAATATAATTGAGAAAGGAGTTAGAATTAACAATTGGGCATCCACTCTACTGTACAAACTGAATTAGTTGTCATACTCACAGCCATTAAATTCATTGAAACCACTGTCACTGACAGTATCATCATCACTGACTCTCTATCCTCACTACTTGCCCTTGACACCCTCGACTCAAGTTGTCACGCTCTTGTCTCTGAAGCCAGACAGACATATGCGTGCCTTGTTGACCGGGGTGTCAAGGTCAAACTGTTGTGGATCCCCTCTCACATAGGCCTCATAAAACATGACAGAGTTGATGCCCTCGCCAAACTCGCGTCTAACAAAGACACCGTTGAATACAATTTGGGTCTGTCAAAAGAACCCTTAAAACTGTAATTAGGAAAGAACTTATTGATGAGTTTGACGCAAGTAGACTAGTGCAAACAGGCACTAGTCGATCCATAGGTTACCATGATGAGATGTATCAAGTGAAACATGTATATGGAGCAAGTAACAAGATCACTAGATTACAAGATGTTGTAACCGCTAGATTAAGGTTAGGATATAAGTACCTTTGGCAGTATGTTCCTCAAGCAGATGTAAACAAAACTAAATGTAAAGTGTGTGGCCATACATATGGCCACACACTTGAACACTACGTCCTCGACTGTGTGAAGATAGAACCTTTTAGGGACAGGTCCAAGCACACTGTGTGTGAAATGGCACAACACTTCATCTCAAATGGCAAGATATCCGACATATTAAGATTGTATCCACTTTTTTGCACTTAGTAATTATATCAGTTCTCATGTACAGAACCAAACACGCAATGTGCTTGAATACTTCTCACGCAAATGTGAATAACAAAGCGTGAGGCCAGACATACTGCCTCACACGCCTGTACTCACACAGTTGTGAATAAGTTACCCTTTATGTATAGAACTAAACAAATATTGTAATTGATATACTGTGTAACATTCAGTGCCATAATATCCTGACAACGGGGGTTAATTATTATGACCCGTTGTAAACTGTACTCTGTAATCCTTTTGCGCTACAACTCACAGGATGAGTGTGGGGTGCACAATAAAGTAGCCGCTGTAAGCGGCAAAATCCAAATCCAAATCAATCAAATCTGCCTGATTGGCCATTTGGAAATCCAAGATGGCGGCCATTTTTCAAGATGGCTGCCAAATTGACCTTGGAAAGATGATTTTTGTTTATAGAAATTGATGTAGTTGGTCAATCTAAATGATCTTAGTGTCGATATGTATGTTTTCAAGCATGCTCAGATGATGCTTTCTATTTCTGATACTCTCAGATATATATTTGTCTTATTTATGACTGGTTTTATGTACTGGTTTTATGTTTTTTCCAACTCGGTGAGGGTAGCATGCAGAGGGTCTCTGCATGTGAGGGAGTGATTGTCGGGCACTACCAGGGCACACTGGTGACATCACTGCTGTGCAACCCAGCATGGGGGTCAGTGTCAGCTGAGAAAAGGCATGTCATACTGCAACAGCTTATTGTTTTAAATGCTGGGACACTACAAGACAGTGGTTGGACCGGTTCCCTTGTTGAAGCAGGAGTGGCTTCATCTGGTACAGCAGAGTCTTTTCTGTCTGTATCAAGTGTGACTAAGACAAGACTAGCACATCAAGTCACAGCATGCAGCTTGTACAAACTGATGAAGGAGGCATACCAGGACTATTGCTCTGATGAGTCAGAAAGGTCAACTTTGAAGACTGGTGTTAACAACGGAGGCTTGAGAGTTCACAGATCCAATTCTGGAACCTTGTGCTGGACATGGAGCTCACCATCTTCATGTTGATCCGCTCATTCAGGGAAGGCAATTTCAAACTCTACCTTGAAGCACTCTCAGAGCTGATCCTCTACTTCTTTGCGAACAACAATGTTAATTATGCCCGATGGCTTCCAATTCACCTTCGAGATATGATGTGCCTTGAGCAACAACATCCAGAGGTAGCGAGGGAGTTCTACAAGGGGAACTTTGTTGTCCACAAGTCAGGAAGAGAGTTCTCTGCCATTGCTATTGATCAAGCCCATGAACAAAACAATGCAGTGATTAAAGGCGATGGAGGAGCAATTGGGTTGACTGAGGACCCAGCAGCACTTCGTAGGTGGATGGTGGCTGGACCTGAAGTGAGTCGTCTTGTTGCTGGATATGAAGCTGCGTCAGGTGCAAAAGATGGAACCACCACCAGCAGCCGACATAATGAGTAGACCCTGAGAGCACAGAAATCTTTCTTTGAGAAGGTGGAAGTGTCATGATCGTGATGACGGCTTACCTAAAAACCCTAAGGATTCATATTACGCTTAAACGTCCAC